GCAAAAAATATATATATATATATATATATATAAATAAAAAAAATAAAAGTCACATAAAAAAGTAAAATAAAATAAAAGTCACATATAAAAAAAGTTTAAAAAAAAACCCAAAATGTTTAACTCCCCCACGTTTACGCACATATAAACGTAAATACGCATCCGGTGCACCAGCACGCAAAAACGACAATTGCTCTACACACGTTACATATCGCCGCGAACGTCGCAGTGAGAGCAATCATTTTAGGGCCATCAATCACTGATAGCACTAAACTGATGAGCGGTAAAAGCGTTTAAAGCGTCGCCTATGGCCAATTTTGGGTATTATCGTTTTTTGAGGTTTCGCGCGCGCACGCAATTTTAAGGCTTGACATGCTTGGTGTCTTTTTATCCGACGTGACCCCGTCTTTTATATTTTACCAAAAAATTGGGTAATAATAAATGTTTTATCATTTAATATAGGGGAAATAGTTTTTTTTTTACATTTCGGTAATTTTTCCTTAATATAGTAAAAAATAAAAACCCCAGTGGTGAATAAATACCACCAAAAGAAAGCTCTATCTGTCCCTAAAAAATTGTATAAAATTAATTTCAGTACAGCGTTGCATGACGGAATAAATGTCAGTCAAAGTACCGCAGCGCTGAATACTGAAAAATGGCCTGGATGGGAAGGGGGTTTAACACCGCGGATGTCAACTGGTTAAGGATGGCGCCCAATACAACCCCACAGTCATATGCATATTACTAAGGATGGTTATGATCCTGAGTTGACCTTCAGCATAGCAGGTATCATTAACTTTGTATTGTTTGTAAAACACATAATTGAATAGAATAGAGTAGCTGGTAAAAATGTGAGTTCAGTTTAAAATATATGCTATGTATACAACCTTACGCATTTTTGACTGCCTAGAAAGCTTGTGACTATTTATTGCTCTACACCACCACATACAATGCAAAAGTTCTGGGTAACTTGGCACCTGGGAAGTTCATTGAGACACCTTTGAATATTGAAATGAGGCAATGGCCCATAACCACAAATAATTTGAATTTAATCATGCTGTATAAGAAAGAGCTAATTGGATTTAAATATGATCCTGCAGCATGATCTTTCAAAAACAAGCTGCATGTTTTCTTCACCCTGCTAAATATATTCTGTTAATGAGTTGTCAGGCCCGTGTTGGATGGAATATACACTCAGGCTCTGCAATGAATCTGTTTACTCTTGTTTTGGGCCCTGCCCGCAGGTAATTATTGATCCTTGGCTGATTAAAAGCAAATTTATATTCAGAAGTTATGTTTTGCCCGCAGGTACAACAATGAAGTGAAGCACATCAAGATATTAACGAGAGATGGCTTTTTTCGCATTGCAGAAAATAGGAAATTTAAAAGTTTAATGGTAAGCATTGATTCCGCTGCTTTACTTAAAAAATGTCACACTGATCTATTGTTTGTTAAACTCTTTCTGCCCAAGAGCATCTCTGGCAAACTTGAAGGCTTTGCTGCTTGCTGACTGAAAATATCAGAGCATGAGTTAATTTTACTTACATCAGACCCTGTATATATACAGTGAGGGCCATTTGATGGATGTGAAGTTGAAAAGTGCTGCTCTCTCTTTTTTGTTAATTTGCTCTGATAACAAAAGTATTCTTGGCTTAGGTGCCAACTAAGCTAATACTAACAGTTAACCAGTACATTACCCATGTAGGGCAAAACAACAACCTCATTTTAATGTCAGCCTCACGACCAACATAAACTTACCTCCTCTTCACTCCCCCATCTATTTAGCTAGTAGGAGTAAAGAGAGCTTGCCCTGTTATATGCTGCGGGTCTTAATTTGCAGCTCACTCAGAACTGAGCACTCTCTTCCAAGAGTGGCATGAATTGGTCCCTGTGCAACCAATCACCAAACATCAGCACTGTCACCCATTTCCTTGTGGAAACTGACCACAGAGACTTTTAAGTCAGTGCCTTACCTTAAAGCAGGGGTGGCAAACTCAAATTCATCGGGTGCCGCATCAGCACTATGGTTACCCTCAAAGGGCCGGTTGTATAGGACTATGCATCTACTCACATGTGCCCATCTCTGCACCTCTGGATGATGACTATACATCCTTATCACACGTTTATATTCCACGCCTGGTGCTGCTGCACATTCCTACACAGCATACACCTTCCACCAACCATCACTGCAACTTCCAGCACCATGCACTCCGCTTCCCCCGCAACTGCCCCACACATACACGCAGCCACTTACCCAGCCGAATCCCCTGCCGGACCCCGCGTCATTCCCTCTCCATCCCCTGCTGCCTCTCCGCCCGAAGCGCTAAGCGCCATCTTGTGGCCGGCGTGGGTTTTTGCAGTGATGTATCACAGGGCTCAAAATTTCAGGTTCTGAACTACTAGCCAGTACTTAAGAGTTACTCGCCACCAGTTGCCCCACCTAACCCCTACCCTGTCCTGGCCTTAACTCCGCCCCTAACCACACCCTCTTAAATTATCTCACGAAATTATACTGTTAAATGTTTCATTCAGAATAAAGTTACAAAAATAAATATTAACAATAACAACTTTAACAATATTAACATAACGCAATGTAGAAGCTCTGATGTATCACATAGGGCCATGAGACAGGGCGGAGGCGGAGACGGAGCAAAATGAGGTGGCTGCTTTGTGGGCCACATTACAAGGTCCGGCGGGCCGGATTCGGCCCGCGGGCCTTGTGTTTGCCACCCCTGCCTTACAGGGTGCCTGACCTTCTTGGGGGTCTTGGAACATGTAGGGGCCATCCATCGCTGTGCCCATCTATGACTCAGTTTCAGAGCCCCAACAGTCTATCCCTAAAGAGTATTTGGGGCACCACAGGCTCCTGTCTTCACCCCAGAATTGCAAGTGGCCCATTTCTGATGCAGAATGTACTTCCCTGCTTTTGGAGAAATTGCCTGCTGTCTTATGCTTTAACTCTTTTAGAGCTCCTACAGCTGCAACCTACTCTTTACACTTGCTATTCAAGGTATTCCTCTATGTTAACTGGAACCACCCTCAAGGGTCTTGGGCCCCACCTGAAAGTGTGTCAGAACTGTTCCCCTTTGATAATGAAAATGGTGGTCTTCATGTATGTACCAGTTAACCACCTTAATAGGAAAACTACTAGAAGGAGGACATGCTTACCTACAGTGGGGTAGACCCCTTTTTAATTGAGCGAGTGCACCACATATCTGGAGGCTACAATCTAAACTTGTGTCAGTCTCTTTCCTTGGGACAGGGAAATCACTCAAGGTACATGATATTCCTCAGAGTCCCTTCTCTCCAGAGAACCCTACTAGGCTGCGTAAGGCCAGCTCTCACTGCTCATTACCTGGATAAAGACCTGGATTCTCAGTGTCATGCACACCTGCTACTTCTCTGAGCATTACCTCCTGTGTTCAGTCTAGTGCCTTTTCCTGACATCCCCATTGTAAAATGCTCAAATGATCCTCTGCAAACAGAGTAATTTTATTGAATGGTTGGTTACCTGCAAAATCCAGCCAGATTAATTTTCACTGGGTTCCAGCATTGGTGATGGGTGGGTTAAGGTCTCTCCGCCATCCCTGTCTACCTTTTTGGGGGAGAGCTTCTCATGCATCCTATTTCCTAATTTACATTGACTTCCTGAGATCAAACTTCTGAGATTTCTCTGTTTGCTGTTTCAGGTTTTCCCTGGTAAGTCTCACAAGATTGGTTGTCAGATCAGGCAACCTCCGTGGTGATGGAGCGCTCATCCCTTTGATTGCAGGGTCAGGGGTGCAAGGGCCTTAGGCTTGTCCTTGTAGACTAGCTACTCTTTATCACCTGGGCCTGTATGTTCCTAAATCTCGTTTTGGGACCAAATTGTCTAGGGTTGCCCCATTTTCTTTTTGTTGACCACACGTCTTTCCGGAAATTATTGTTTCATGTATTTTAGGTAGGCTTTTAGTTGATTACCTTATCTTTAGTTCAGGTTCTGTGCCCCTCTGGTGGTGACCTCCTCAGGTCTTAAGCATCAGGCTGATTCTCCATGCCCTCACTCTGGTATTGGTAGTTTTGGCATGTTCTCCTATTAGTATGGTGCTCATCCACATCCAGTTCAGATTCAGGTATTGGACCTTCAGGTCGCTTTTTGGCTGCAGGCAGTCCCCAGTTCTTTTGATGTTGCTGTTTAACAATTTAAATCTAGTTCTAAATGCAAAATACATTTTCATCATTTGGCCTAGTATCACTAAACATTATTTCCTTGAAGGGTTTCTAAACCCTCCGGGTTTTTTTGCATATATCTACTGCTAGCAAGCCAAAAACAAAGCATCTTGAGGCGGGCACATGCGTAGTTCGAATTTTCAGCCGGCAGACGAGGAGAGACGCAATGTAAGTCTATGGATGCGTGCACCCGCATGCAGCCACCTTGGGATCGGAAGTGCCAGCAAGGACAGAGGAGTCAGCGCTGGATCGGAGAGCCGCCGCACCGCTGGAGGGACAGATGAAAACATCAGGAAAGAAGAAGAAGATGATCGGATTAAGAGACATAATTTAAGGTAAGTGCTGACATTAACATTGGGGGAGGGACATTTTTTTTTTTACTTTAATGTCACTTTAAGTGATAGTATTGCTTTGTGTGATGTAATATGTCTATTTTATTGCCTGACAATTTATTGTTTTTCTGGTATTATTTTTAAACTAAAATAAATCCTCAAAGGAAGAAAGTGACTTTTAGAAGACATAACAATGAAAGAGATTTAATTTAACGCATAAACTCTCCAAATTGCGCCTGTTTGTAATGTTGTTTTATGGAGTTTTACAACCCAAGAACATGCCCATAAAAGCAAAACAATATATTTGTATAATTGGAATAGAGAGAATAAATTAGTTCACTTACAATTGAAATATATTGCTTGTATATATTTATTTATTTATATTTGCAGTGCTAGAGGCTGGTTATTTCTCGGTTATTAATTCCTTATGGTTATCTGGATAGCTGGCTACAGTAACTTTTCTCATAGTCTTATAAAGGATAGCTAAGTTGTTACAGAAAAACTTCAGGTGAATTTAAACAATTTGGAGAGATGTTTCCTTACTGGGATGTGAAGCATTTCTGTTGTCTAATTCATTTCACTCCATAATTCATACCCTGTGAAATGAATGCTTGTGTACAAAGTCTAATGTAATTTTTTTTCATTTTTATTACATGCTGGGAATTCTGATTAAAAGTATTTGAGAAAAAGAACTATGTTTCTTCTAACAGCCTATTGTATTATTGCTTTAGTGTTAATATGTAAGGTTAGACATTAAAGGGAACACCCGATTGGTTAGTTTGGACAACACTGACAACAAAAGAGCTCAGATACTAAGTACAAAAGACTATCAAATACAAATAAGAAAAACCACCACAGTTAATTAGATTGGACAGTGACCTTATGTTTATGGGTGGATGTACTCTGTTGGTTGGCCACTAAATGGGGGCAGCAACTGACAGATTAGAAAACCTTCCCTAATTGCTATTGTTCTTTTGTAATAAACCATTGCCATCTCTGCACTACCCAACCCATTAAAATACATTTGTAAGCCAGACAGAGCCTTCTCACAAGTTTAACGAGTGTGCAACTCTCTAAAAGTGGTCTAATCATAATTCTATCTATGGCAGTTTTTTGTTTAGTAAAGCTGGGGGTCAGCTATCAGAGGAATAATAGTGATCAGCTGGGGAATTCCTGCCATGGTGTACCACTTCTCTTTCAAGAGTGATATGCTGCCAATATGTGGCCTCATCTCATAGTGCTCATACTTAGCAGTTGTCTACTGATTTATACAGAATTGGCCAGGTCAGTAGACAACAGGGAATAGGGTTTAACTTCAGGAAAAAGTAAAGGGTCCCATGTACTGCCTAGGCTTAAAACCCAAAGAGCTCTACAGAACACAGAAGTTGGTTTGAAGACTAACACATGTATTTGCACACACCACAGGGAGACATTGTAGACTATGTCACGTTCATGTTAATGTAAAATATCAGCTTTCCAATGGATGGAAGATGTTGTTGAGGAGAAAATAATTATGACTATTTTCTCATACAAAGGGACGGTGAATTTTTAACTATTATAATGACTAACTGTGCTATCTGCTTCACACATTATTTATACCACAAAGTTGCCAGTAATAAATCAAGAGTGTCCTACTCGCATATTACTTATTGTTTTTTTTGTGTAAATAGACATTAAGCTATGTTGGTTATGATTATTGCTCATATTCATCTTATTTTTTTGTACAGGAGCTTGTAGAGTATTATAAGCACCAGTCTCTGCGGGAGGGTTTCAGGAGTTTGGATACAACCCTTCTTTTTCCTTACAAAGCTGTGGAAAATCAGATTGGCCATGCAAGTAACAGGTCATCTGGGATGTGTAAGTACCTATCCATTGATAGCTCTGTCAGGCATGATTCCCTGTTAATTATCTTAGACAAGTTCCATTTTTTTATACTTTAAAAGCAGTGCTTTTTTTTATTTGTGTAGAATTAAAAGTACCAGGTACAAATTATCCTACTAGAAAGAGTTCAGAGGTCTTATCTAGACAAGGGGAGCCTTTCATATCACAGATGTGCTGGAATAATGAGCAATCTTAACATGTCTTAGATGGATTTACTTTATACTATCTATTTTTAAATGTTCACAGCACCTGTGGAACTGATTTTTAATAGCATCCCAATAGCTGAAAACAACTGTAGTCATCTGTTGTCATTTAAGGGTGTAAATAGAACAGCCTGATTTGTTAATGTATGAACATTTGCTAAACATGATTGTTTTCTTGCCCCATAACAATCTATTACATTCAAATCTATATACACTGTACAACCAAATATTTGCGGACATATGACAATCACAACATTACAATACGGGCAAGGTTTATTATTACCCCTCCAAATTATTGAGTCCAGGTGTTTCTAGTAAGGAATGCTGTAATGGTACAACAAACAAAGACATTTTACACAATTATGCTCTTCTGAATTTGTGCCCATAATACATGCCTTAAAGTTAAACTAAACTCAGGAGTTAAAAGAGAACTATGGAGTAAGTTTTTCCCCATAGTTCTCTTTAGGGTCACAGGAGGCCATATACTAACGTCCTCCCGCGATATACTGTTAGCGCTGCAGCCGGGACGGATCCCGACATTACTGTCGAGATCCACCCAGCTGCATGAGTGACAGCTGGCTCTGCCTATATGGATGCAGAGCCAGCTGTGCCCCCCCTCCCCCGTCCGTTCCTCCACTCAGCGCTGGAGGATCGGAGAGGGGGCAATCCCTGCAGGGAGCGGTGACTGAGAGTCACTGCTCACTGCAGGGAGACAATAGAGAACAAAGCAGATCGTGCATGTTTCTGCTCACTTCCCGATCAATAGAGCCGACCTGTGACAGCTTCTTTGTCACAGTTCGGCTCTAACTATGAGGATAAGTGGAAATCATTCACCTCATAGATCTCCTTTAAATCTTAATAATGCATAGTACCCTAATTATTAACAAAAATGTATTTTATTTGTCTATCACTCAAATCATCTCTGAATTGGTGCTGATACTGTCCTTTCTGGAGGGTAGCCACCACTCCAAACTCACTCCCTTGATGAATTACAATCTCAATACAAATTAGTAAACTAAATGTGAGATTGTTTTAACTCCTGAGTTTAATGCCATTTTAATGCATTTGGCATGGATGAACTTGAGTTCACTCCATTGAACACCTTTAGGATGAACTGAAATGGGATTGTGAGCCAGGTATTCTCATCCAACATCAGTACCCAACCTCAAAAATGCTCTTTTGTCTGAACTGACACACATTCCCACAGACACATTCCAAAGTATTGTGGAAAGCCTTTCCAGAAGATTGAAAGCTAGATGTAAGTGAGATGGTTCACAAACCTTTGGCCATATAGTGTATATATTTGCCGGTATATATTGCACTTTAGTTCTTCTAGCCTTTCTCTAATGTGCAAACTGTGATAATTCATAGCAACCAATAAACATCAATGAAATCAAGACTGTACAGATATTTACCATTATAACACAGTCATAGTGCATAATAAAATACCTTTCTGCTGCTTTACTCATAATTAATCACAACATTTTTAACTCCCTTCTGCTGGATAGTGCATGCCTTTCTATAATGCAAATATCAGGAAAAAACTGTACCGTAGAGAGTCAGAGAATGAAGAGTTTTATGATGATTGTTAACTGTGAAGCTACGGAGGAGGGTTGGACAAATTAGGGAAGGATGTCTGACGGCATCAATCTCCCAAGATGCATTTGGGATAAATATACCTAGGCTGCTTGTGATAATGATCCATTTTTTCCCCCTATTTACCTTAAATTAGATTTAGAGCCTAGCCGAATGACATTTACAGGGCTATTCACAAAAGGGTGAAGTGTTTGGGGAAGGTAGGAGAAGTGAACAAATTATAGGACAACATATCTGAACTGGAAAGTGAGCTGAATTGGAGAATTTTTCCAAAGCAGCTATTGTGCCCTAGATTGTTCACTTCTCCTGCCTTCTCCAAACGCTTCACCTGTTTGTGAATAACCCTGTTAGATGGCTAAAGCACTGTTTATCATAAAAAACTGCCATTTTTGATAAAAATCTTTTTTTTCACCTATTTTCCATCCTTTGTTGCATCTCAGTGCTGCTAATCGCCTGCAGTCTCTTTGCTGCTGCTTTCTTTTCACTTGCATGCACTTCAGTGGTGTTTACATGGCATTTCTTGGGGTGGAATTTATGATGGTGACAACAGTAAACCATGCTTGTGTAATGTGTGCTGAAACAGACATGTTCAAAAGTATGCAGCGCGTTTGCACATCGAAACGGGTTGTGTGGAGTCTGTCCCACAGTGAAGAATGCTGGAGGACAAAGGTGAATATCAGACCAGGTTGGCTGCACTCAGCAGGGTAACTGCATTCATTAAAGGACAATTTGCCTCAAAAGGTACAGTTGTCCTTTAATGAAAGCTGCAGATTAGGTATATTGAAAATGACTTTTGAAATGTTATTAACAATTTAGTGCTGAGGTTTTACATATGCAGTACTTAAGGAACTAAGCGAGGTTATAACAAGACCGTTATTCATTTGGACGATTTCCTGAGAAACGGTAATATACAGGGGTACAAGTACTCCTAAAAACGAGATGACGCGAGGATCTTTACACCCACACACACACACACAATGGGTTGGACTTGATGGACATATGTCTTTATTCAACCTCAAATACTATGTAACAGTAAGGTATGTAAGTACTGTAAGTATAGGAGTATATTTATAAAAACATTTGCAGAGCTATTCATCCTGCAAAACTGCACAAACAAATGTTATTAGTATTTTTTCTTTCCAGGTTGAATGTTAGTCATTCATAAGATTCGAGGGAATGAGGAAAATACCACATTATGGCTACTAGATGGAACTGAGGATCATAGGAAATAAATACTTATTTCAAAGGATCCTCAGCTTCATCTGGTGGTTATAAACAGTATTATCTTGATATTACATTCAACATGGAAACAAATACACTGATAACATTTGTTTATTCCCCATCCGCATAAAATGAATGTACCTGCAGTTTTGCAGGACGAATAGCTCTGCACATTTTTCAAAAATACAACCTCAGTAGTTGTGCAACCCAGTATTATTCATTGTTTTTTTTGCAACCTTATTGTTGTCTTGTGTTTGTCTTCTTTAGGCGAAAGCTAAGGCCATGTGCATTGTGACCATGGAGTATGTGGTGGCCTGCACCTGGAAAACACAGTTTCTAGTGTAGTCTAACATCAGAATATACCAAGTTACAGTAGAGATGATGAAACTTATGGTGATCACAGATACCAGTACAAACTGATAGTGTTTTCAATGTGACTACACGTTACAGTCTGATTATACAGTCTCCTTTACACATCATTAACTACGTAATGGTCAGGTCATACCTGACTGGTTCTCATTTGAATGGGTAGTTTAGGCAGGCTAAGTGTTATTGTGTTATTGCCATTTGTTAGTCCATGCATGGTGCAGTTTAGCTTTACCTCGTAGCTGTTATTAATTAGGTCTAGAGCAGCTGCAAAGTCACAATTTATGAGTCCCAGTACAGTGGTATCAAGACAGCAAAAAAAAAGCAACTTGACATTTGTCAAAATCCTACTTTAATAAGCTTAGATTGCATATACCCATATAATACATTAGTTATAAGTTTCACACAGCAGCATTCATAGACTTCCTGTGACTATACTGTTGTTTTTTCCCACTGCCAAGAAGAGCAGGGAGCCTGTGAGTGAACTATGCTTTGTGTGAGCTGAAGGAAGTATGGCTGTGCTACTTATTGTCACCGTGGGCCTATTTATAAAAGGTCAGGAATCCATTTCTGACAGTTTAACCTACTTATAAAGCTGCTCTGGGCAATCTAACCACTCATTCTTTCCCATATTTCAACACAGGTGAATATATATCAGCGAAATACATTTTTGTAAATGGATTGTGTCAGGTTATAAGGACTTTCCATCTGTCGTTTGTCGATAATTTACTTCTGCCTAAGCCTAGACGCAGTTATTTTGCCGATCTTTATAAATAGGCCCCTGTGGATCATAGTTTTGCTGCTTAGTGATGCTGTGTAGATTTTTAATTTCTAGTGAACCTGTATTGCAGTTGTGACACTGGTCTTTGCTTGTCTGTCTTCTTTCAAAGCCACGTCTGTGCTGTGTGGGTTTGCTTTTGTTACTGCGCCTGAATACAGCTTTGTGCCCCCCTCCACTTCTCCTTTCTGGTCAGGTAGCTATTGCACTGCTTCTTATTCCTCTTGCCTGTGCCGCATTGCCATGAACGAGTTGCCACCTTTTGACATAAAAGATCAGTGACTGCATGTTTCCTCCTAATTTGCCAATTTAAATCTATTTTGGAACCCTTCAAAATAGATTTACAAACAGAACAACATATATATTCCTACCATCTCATTTTAGGAAATCTAAAGTTTGGGAAACAAGACATGAGAAATGCAAGTGTGTCCCAAAGTCACCATTTAGGGACCACTGTATAGGTGGGGGTGTTATCAATGCATGTAAATATACAGACAAATTACATTCGGTATACAAAAAGATCTGCCATTATGTTTGCACTTTATTTTCATTACACCAAATTGGTCCACATTTAAGGGTCGGGAGATAAGACCAGTCACTCTGCACAAGTAGAGAGAGCAGCAATGACTTGTCTTTATTACAGGAAGTTCCTGCACAGGGGGAACATTTCACACTGGATTACTGCACAGTTGGGGAAGAAATACACAAAGCACACCAAGATTCAATTAAGAATACACATGCATCTTGTGTTTAGACAATATTTGTTTATCTCAGAGTTCAGCAGTAAAAAGTTACCGTCACCTTGTAAGGCAAGGTGACAGTGTCTCTAAAAAGGCCTAGACTTCCCCTTTCCGAGTCCCTAATATACTCAACTTGCCTGTGCTGCCTTGTAGTTCTTTGCTTCTCTGTAGCCAGTGACATTACCAGGCACATCTGAGTATGGGTGAGCATGTGACCTGCCTGCAGGCATGGGCCAAGCACTTTCACAGAACTGGTGAAGGGATGTCACCACTTCCCTGGGTCACAGACAAAGCCGATCTCAGCAGTGGCTGCAGAAGAGCAAGGAGTTGTGAGGAACACAGGTAAGTTGAGTATAAGTGGATCAGGCGATGCTCTTTTCAGAGACTCTGTCACCCTCTGCATGGACAAGGTGACAATGTCTGCTTAATCTGACAAGTCTAACTGCATTTTTGTTTAATGAACCTGGGTCCACCCAGGTCATATCTTCCATTCCTGTTCATGGACTAACTGGTGACATAAATAATGTACCTCTTTTAAATTATATCCAAAGCTTAAATGTATTTTCTTAGTTTTGGACAGAGTAGTAAGGTGTTATCAACCCTGTCAGGTTGTTATTACCCTCTCTATTTGTCCCTTGACCATTGTCCCTGAGACTATAAGTGAGGTAAAATCCAAAATTCTCAGTTGTAGAACAGGAATGTAGAGAACATCTTTTAATGGAGACACTTGTTCTGGTGACAGCTGTCTAAGAAAGGATTTCCATCACTTTAAAGAGATTTCCTTTTACATCCTGTTGTGCCTAAAAAGGACAGGTACATCTCCTTAGTAACAGATAATAAAAACACTTGACAAGAATTTTAAAGTATACCTTGCGAGGGTGCCGCCATCTTCCTCTGAGAGATCTGTAGAATGTAGAGTTCCCGCAAATCTCACTGAGAAGATGTTTCTAGCACTGTGCTGCTGTGTCTTCTCTGGAGATTTGGAGTACTCTAAGATCTCGTTAGAGGATGATGGTGCCACCCCATGCACTACAGGGAGTTGGAGGAAATAGGTTTTTTTTTCTGCATGTGTTTTTTTAAACTTTTTTTTCTTGGAGTTTCACCAAGGTGGTGTGGGAAAACATAAACAGAGGATCTTGCTCTACATGCAAGGTCTACTTTAACTATTTACTATTCTATACCAAAATTAAGAAAACTGTTTTGGCTTTAGATATACTGTAAAGTTTACCTATACCCCCAAAATTGTTTACTTTTGTATAAAAGAGTTTACAGCTCACTGATGTGAGCTGCCCTGTGCACAACTTTTTTCAACAAAACAAGTGTTTAATTTGTGTCAACACAAGACAATGCACATAAATGCAAGGCAGAACTAATACCTTATATAGCTTAGTGTAAAAATCAAACAAATAAAAAACAAAAAAGAAGGCAACGTTATGCAACACAATTTAATGTCAATGTACTATGGCAGTGCAAGTGAATGCACTTGTGTTGAGTCAAGTCCAACACACGCATTTTGGTGTGAATTCACCCTTAGTGGACTCTGAATGTTGAAGATTGGAATCACTACTACCCCTAGACTAGGCCATAAACCAGAGCATGCAATCATTATCCTTGTAAAAAGCTGGCAGCTCTGTAACTGGTGACCTAAATCATGCTGTGTGTATGACTGTGAGTGGAGTACATGTTTAAGAAACGTCAGATTTGAATCCAAGCCTTTATAAACCCCAATGGCCATTGGATAACTGTAGAGATGCATATATACTTGATTTTTGTCCAGTGCTAACAATTACTATGAACAACTGAATCAAATTACATCAACCAAAAAAACTGAATGGTAAATGTGTCTCCTGGGTTGAAAATGTTTAGCTGGTTCTCCATTATGAATACTGTCCTATGACAGAAGAACTATGGGTCCTGCAGTTGCAATCCATGGCTTGTTTGCAGAGTATATGCATATTAAGAGTGTGTGTGTCAGCATAATCAGAATGTTTTAACCAAAAAAAGTTGGCTGTGGTTTTCTCAAATGAATGCATGTAATATACAGTTCATTTCCAAATGCATGATATCATAACCTAATAATTATTAATCCAATATATATCCTGTGCTTTGAAAACAGAATGTTATAATGGTTCACTTTAAAATGACCTGTTATGGGTAGCAAAGCAAAGAACGTACTATTTTAAAGTGTACCTTGCATAAAAAGCAAGGTCCACTCATCCTGTGCCCCCTTTCCCATGTAAAAACATTTAGTGAAAATATAATAAAAAAACAGAAAACAAATTTAATAAATATTCACCTTACACCTTGGCTACTTGTAAGTGCTGGTGACATTGCTGGCATCATCCAGCAATCCTGAAAAACCTCAGGATCTCAAATCTCGCAAGAAGAGGCTCCAGCACTGAGGAAGAGCTTCCACAACATAAGTCCCAATCCAAGATATCGCAAGCACATCATGTTCATTTGAGAAGACAGGACACTTTATTGTCACCAACAGGAAATTACTTCCTGAGAAAGTGGTCCTTAATAATGGACCTTTACCCCCTTTCACTAAATCACATCAGCGTGCAGCTCTGCATGCTGATTTAAAATCATCTTGTTTTTCATTTACTTACATATAGAGTTTATCTACTTCCTCGTCCACTTCTGGCACAAATGATGTAATGTACCAAAGCGTTGCATGCTGGGAAGGTTACATCAGCAGAGCATTGCTGGAAAATCTCATCTGTAATCTCATGAGATCTCTGGTAAAGGCATTTTCCTCTCTACTACTGATGATGGACAGCTTGGAATCATTTAAAAGTTGCCCAGTGTCAGCTCTTATTTGCAGACAGGGCATACTATACCAACTGTGCAGTACAACCTTTATTAATTCCTTCCTGCACATTCTGTCTAGATCATTACACTGAGCCTGCAAAGGCCTTTTCATGTAGGAGGTGTGAAACGGCACAATTTAAACTCCAATTTTATCTTTATAACATGTTCTACCTAGATTTTATACGCTGAGTATTCTTTTTTTCATGTATATTTTATTACCATTTTTTCCTCTGTTCATGCCACTTCATTTTGCTTACAAAAGTATACTTATCATGGGTAATTTGTACACACATGACTTCCTATATTTGGGGTAGACAAACTTTAGCCATCCAGATGTTGAGGAACTGCAAGTCCCATAAGGCAGCGAGCTCCAACTTTTTTGGCACCAGGGACTGGTTTCCTGGAGGAAAATGCTGCCAAGAACCAGGGGTGGGGGTGGTTGGGGAGGGGGGGGATAGTGATTAGTGTGTGGCAGATAACATAACACAGGACAGACGGGGGAGTCCAGCCTGTTCTGAGAGAGGAAATAAATACCAGAGGTGAAGTCACTATGACTGTGTAACATTACTTTCTTAGTACACTGTCACACTAAAAAAAAAAAAAAAAATTACTTCCGTAATCACAGTAATCACAAAGTGTTCCCCTTGATTTCAGGGGGACTTACTGTTTTCTGGAATTAGCTCCCCTTGATTTCATGATGTATTAGAATATATTAGATATTGTATGCAAGATGTAACTAACCCAAACAACCTACCACCTGTCTTCAGTCTTGTTTTGTATCATTAACAAAGTGCACCTGTTGTATTCTCTTTAGTAAAGCCCTGTGGTATATCTGGGCACTATACGACATACGTAAAGTATAGATAGTTTTTGTGTGTGTGACACAACATGGGCACATTCCCAGCAAATAAGGATATCATATGGGTTTTCTGTTTAACACCTATCAGGTTATATATAAATGTCTAGTTTGATTATATTGTTAGGCATTTCAAGTTTAAACCAGTTATTTGATTAAGAAATGCCTTTTATTACCTTAGTCATTGCTGTCTACATGTCAGATTTGAGTAGTCATTTCTTTCTTAATGTATGTTTCTGTCATTCCAGTTCTAATTCATTTTCTATGTTCTTCTAGTCCTGAATCCAAAGGTTTTAGGTATTGCCATTGCTCGGTACGATTTCTGTGCCAGGGACATGAGAGAGCTGTCCCTGTTCAAGGACGATGTGGTCAAGATCTATACAAAAGCAGGAACGAATGGCTGGTGGAGGGGGGAATCTAATGGAAAGGTAAGGAAGCTGGAGAGGTCAGAATCATCCAGTAGAATTGAAACAAGTAAGGTTTCTGGACATAAAAGAATGACCTGATAAAGGGCATATGTAATAAAAGTAGGCCTGATTTACTATGCAAATGCACAATAACAAGGAGCAATTGCTAAGCAGATAATTGGCACGTCATAGACTGTGGCTTTTTTACTCTACAGTTACTTTTATTAATATTTGAATGCACTTCATGCAGTCTTGTTCCTGTGTGAAATGCACATGCAAAATAGTTAACAGATGTCAAATAACCACAGGCCCACGAATACTTTAGGGAAAAACCCATTTTCCATTTAATTAGAATAAACTAATAATGAGCGTCTCTGCTTTTTCTATGTTAGCATTCTTCTCCATATTTACTGTTGTTTTTACAGTGTTCAATGTCTTACTAAACTGCAGTGGCGTCACAAGGGGGATGCAGCCTGCACCTGGGTGACACCATGGGAGGGGTGACTGACAGTCATTTTGGTGTCACCCCCTCTGAAAAGTCGGGCACTGGGTCATGGATCGAGAGCCTGACAGCTGAAGTATAGAGAGGAGGGGACACGGCGGCATACCTTATGCCGCTGGGTGAACGTCCCTTCCTCTCTCTGCCGGCGTTCATCACCAAGATGGTTGCCGGCAAGTATCAAAAAGATGAAAGCTCATGCGCAATGACATCACGGCGGGGTGTCACCCGATATCTGCTCCGGGTGACACCCGGCCTTGGGACGCCCCTGCTAAACTGTATGGCCATTAAACTTCTATCTTGTAGTACTTATTTGAGTGGTGACCTCCGATCTGCCTAACTAAAAGTCATCTTCAACACTCATCCTCTCACACTTGAATTTTTCAGCCCACTTCTTTACACTACTATATGAAGGGGCAGCCTCCTTATGGTATCTTTTCCTGATCTTTAGGTGTCTAAAGACATGATTTTTTAAAGTTCTAAAATATCATAAAAGTACACATGTTCTTGGTGGAACAACTTTTGTATGCCATAATCAGGTTCCTAAGGTTAGCATATCTGCAGTTCATATGTAAAGTTCTGTGTCAATAATACAGTGCGGAGTTATGATTATGAGAATACAGTCTCTGAAAAGAGAAATTAAACTCCGGAAGATGTCCCCAAAAAGGCAGGCAGAGGGCAAAAGTTTAGTCACCAGTATTTCCCCCATTACTGACTTATCATGCCTTGTTCTGCCCTGTGTCTCTAGTTAGAGGCCATCTTGGTAGAGGCAGGGCTTTGCTTTTTCATGTCAACGGCCCCAGTAAGGAAAACAGTGAGCAGCACAATAGTGATCAGTCAGAGACAGCAGTGCCTTAGATCTCATACTACAAACGAGGCATAGGTGTGCTCTGGCACCCTACCAGTAAGTGTGGTGCTGTAGGAGGACTTTAGGACAAAAGGTAATTTGTTTATGGTACTGCTCAGGTACATTTAACATTTCTAAATGTTCCTGTAACATTGCAAATCTTCAAGCTGTTTTCAATATTGGTAGTATTCCCAACTATTACTACTATCATCAGTATTTTTAGTGGTAATGAATTCACTGCCCATATAATTTATACACATCAGCCATCAGTGAAAATTAATTCAAATGTAGGTTCAGAAGAGGTAGATAAAATGTGTTTACTTAGGCTGAATTGTAAGCATCAGGAGATGGAATCATGGCATCCAATATGTCTTCTTTTTTCAGGTTGGCTGGTTTCCATCCACATATGTAGAAGAAGATGAGTGAATGTAATGATACATCCAGTGGGTGAATTCCTGACACCTTAAGACAACTTCCTTTCAAGCTCCTGTCTACAGTCCATGTGGAGCACAATCAGCCAATATGGTCTTGGCACAGCTTTGAGCAATTCCTGTAAGACTGGTCAGCATGCCCATGCAGGAGACTCCAAAGAACCATGCTATACCAAACACATGAGTGTGCAAATGATGAGTCGGGTGGCATGCAAAATTCCATAAGAGACTTGGAACTTCTATGTATCACTAAGAGACTTTTTATAAAGACAACTGTACTTATTTCCTATTATAACGAAAAGAACATACATAACTTATAATATGTTTGCAAATAAACAGTACTAAAACTCAAAGCCATACTCCTTAGCAGTAACCCTACTTATATAGCTGATCATGAAACGGCTCCTGAGCTGATATGTGGCACACCTGCCCTTGCTATACCCCATTTCTTTCAAGTAAAGATTTAATTGGGACCGCTGATGGTGCTTTTTATGTTTTTTGGTACAAGCTTTCATGTAGTATCTGGGGCAGAAATTGTGAATAGTAAAAAGTCTATAATTTTTATCTCCCAGTGTAAGCATTGTATACCTATTACTTTTGTCCATGTTCTGTAGTCATACTTCAGCATCAAACCATTGTTTTTATTTATTTATTTTGTACCTCCAAATAGTTTTGTAAATTTCTGTTTTACATTATATCAGCATTGGAAGTCTTCTGTTCATACACTAATCTTTGTCTCCATCTTTAGTTCACTTAAAACAAAAGTACTGTTGTTGGGGAGCAACATAAATTCTGCCATTTTATTATAATTTTAGAAAACGGAAGCATATAATTGAAATGGTGAAAAACACGTGAATAGTTTCTATGGTCAATGCCATCTGTTTCTTTTGTGTTATTTTTCATGCATTTTCCAGTGAAATAATATGAAACCACAGTGTCCATAAACTTTCATTTCGGTGACTGGAAGACATAAAGATATGACTTCTACTTGAGCAACTAATTCTATAAATCAGAGCAGGCAAAAATAAATTTGATGCTGAAATCTGGGCTAAACAAATATAGTCTTAATACAAGAGCCATGTGTATATTTACTTAAGTGTTGGTGTCCTTTGTGTATTAATTCCAGATCAGTGCAGTAATCCGTCATTAAACAACCCGTGCATCCTGCCTGTGTTCAGGCGTTTCCTGAAATAAAGGCTGGTCACTGCTGTTCTCTCTTCTTGTGTAGAGTGGCAGGTCCCCCTGTAGTTTTCCGCACGTAGTCTGTAGGAGATGAACCTGCTGGGTCCCTCCCACAGCTCTGTGTCCTGCACAAGCCATGGTCAGGCCAATGATGATGTCACTGCTACTTTTACAAGTTAACATCAAAGCAGATTTATATCCATTGTGGCTAATGATGGATGCAGTAAAACAAAATTTTTTGTGCTAGAGTTGGGATGGAGTTCAGCTTTAAATTGTATCTTTGTTGTTGCACTTTCTTTGCCATGTGGCAGCGCTCCTTCTACTCTTGTTAACATGTATATAGATGTGAACAGTTTTCACCTTCATGGTTGGAAAGAGGCACATTACTGCCTATTCTGAAGGCAGATAAAACAATGGTGCTATCATGGCTCTCTCTTTCTGAACTCTTTTACAAAACTGGTTGCTACTTTACAACCACTGGATTATTCATGCTGAACTCCACCTCAAACCATTATCATTATTTTGGATAGAGTGGCGAAGGGTTAGAAATTGTGCCGGGGTTTTTCTGCAGTATCCATTCTTGTTGAGGGTTGTCTCACTTTCTGTCCCAGTGACATTGTAAAGTGTACCGTTAGTTTGGAAATCTCTCCAACTGGGCCACAGACAGTAGTAAAACACTGACATAAGTTTAAGTGCTACAAGTGAAGTTTGGCCAGAGTTAACTTGTTGTCCCCTTAAAGTGCTTTATTGGCCAGTGAGGTTTCCTCATATGTGATCCCACAGCCACTAAGGAGCCTCAAACCTCGGCAGTGCTTGTTATGTCAACCTTGAGCAGTTTCTTGGGCTTAGAGCTTTGTCCTGCCTCCTCTTGGTGCATCCTTGTTTGCCCATGAGGCTGCAGGGTGGCAGGTCTAAACTCTTAAACTATTAGAGCTGGTCATGACATTCGCCTGTCAAGATAATCCCCATTGTCAGGGTGCCTGGGGTGCTGCACAAGCTATATACGCACACATGCAGGCCCCTAAGTGCCTGCTTTCCAATGCTGCTTCCTATTTGATGACTTTAAAGTGACCTTCTGGCACAAACAGGAGAGGCTGTGTCTTGTTATTGTGAAGGATCATGCCAATTGCCCTTTCTGTTTTGTCCCTTCGCTCATTCACAAAACTCTTTGTATTATTTTCTCAGAATGCAATGCCTTCCGTGAATGGGTGAGGGCCAGATGAATGACTGGAATGCGTTGCTTCTGAGATATTGGTCCAAGAAGCTTTATGAATAGCTGAAGGAAGAGGAAGGGAAGGGCAAATGGCTCAAACCTTTCCAATAGCTGCCACAGCATCTCCTTGCTTGCAACACTGGAAGATCAGCATTATGCGGAGCATGTAGAATTACAGACAGTAGGATTATTACACGAACCAGAAGCCAGCAGAATGTGGGATACACATAACTAGTAATACATTATTACACTGGTATTGTATGCCAACAAACATATTTTACTAAACTTCAGCTTTAAGAGGTGAAATGTGATTACTGCACTATTTTTATGTCATCTTAGCTTTTCTTATACCTCATATACTTCCGATTATTTCCCCATCACAAAGGTAACATCCAAACGGTAAGGGCTGTTTGAAAATAAGTAATTTCATTTTTACATCTTTGCTGTATGTGCACACCCAAGACCTGTGACAGCCAAGGCAAACACAAAATGTGACTTTCTGTATCTTTTTCAGGGCACCGTCATGTTTAAAGTCTGAATTGAATTTAAAAAATAAATGGTTTAGGACAGTAAGGGAAGGAATTTACAAAGGTTTATTCTGGTGTGAACCATATAATAAAGTCATGTTTTATGTTATGTTTGTGTAGAAACATCAACATTGCTGTATTTGTGTAGCCAATTTATTTTAGTTTTTTTTAGTATCAAGTAGTGTTGGAGAAAATGTGCATCTTCTTCCTGTGTAGCAGATGCAAAAGAAAAGAAGAAGAAATTCCCTCTTAAACAACTGTCATTCAAACAGATGTTTCCATTGGAAGATTCAACCCATCTCTGCTCTGGTGGCAGCTTTAGAATTTTGGATTTCCAACAATTGTCACAAGGACAAATCGAGGTTTGAATTTCACCAGCGGGGCTTACTGATGGCACTAAAAACTTGACAGAGGGGCAAAAAAAAAAAAACTTGATGCCAGCACTACGCCAGTGTGTTTACCCAGTATAGCAGTGCAAAGAGCAATTATAATGTGCAATCCATAGCAACCAATCACAACTCAGTTAATCAACTCAGATTAGTTGCTATGCTATTCTTTATACATTCTTCTATGCACTGTAGAATAACCAAAAACTGTTAACGTGCAGTCGGTTACAATTATCTTCATCTCTGCCATCAATACATGGGGAAATTATGTCTACTCAGCAGATGGCTCTAAAGACAACCAGAAGAGTGACCATTTACTTGTCAAGGTTGGATTATTTTCAAAATGTAGATTTGGCTGAACAGGTTGGAGAGGAGATGAAGTAGACTTGGATGGAAGTATATACAGATAGTATAGGGAATGGGGTCTTTTTAGTACTGAAAATATTTTACTAACTAAGGTATGCCTGAAGATTTATGGACCTCGCTGTCCTTAAACACATGAAAGGTATTAAACAGGAAATTTGATTTTGTTAAATTTCCCTCTCTGCAAAAGCTTTGCGTCAGTTTTATAAATTATTCCAATTAGGGATGCACCGATACCAAGTATCGTACTCGGTACAAGTACAAGTACCAATACTTTTCAAGCTCCAAGACTAGACTAGAGAACAATTAGAAAGTTAGGAGGAAGCTGTCACGGAGCTCCTGGGATTTGTACATCTCTGTTTTAATGTATGATTTTGTTTTTATAAATATAAATAAAGGGATGCACCAATACCATTTTTGCAAGTACAAGTACTGATACTTGCCCAAGTACTTACAGATACAAGTGCTGATACATTTTTTGTTTATTGTCATGTGACAGTTTTTTAAAAACAATATTGACTAATGATTTCAGCACAGTGGTGGAGCGCCAGAGCCAGGTCCCAGCTGCAACTTCTGCAACCCTGGTAGTTCTCATGAAAATGCCAAGTATCGGCACTGGTACTCGAAAAGTATCGGTGCATCCCTAATTCCAATAGTACCCTAGAGAATACTTCCTGTCAGTTTTCTGCCCTTACCAGTCTTAAGCTTTCAACCAACAACCATTGATGCTAGGAAGCTATTTAAATGGGTTGTGTCACATTGCATGTTTTTAATACAAATACTGTGGCATGGCTAATACCAAAGAATCAACTTACACTTAATAGCAGAATGCATTGGGGTTGATTTACTTAAGACAAATTGGCTGCTCACTTTGCAAAGGGATTTTGAATGAGGCAAAGCTCTGCTGACTTCCATCATCTGATCATGGGCAAGCAAAAATACTGTTTTTTTTTTCTTGCACCTAATTGGGTATTGTTTACAAAGTTAATTTTTCACCACATTCACTAAGCTAAGGGAAAGTTTCCTTGAAAAGTGTACAGCCTAAAGTCAACTCCCTTGTGTCTAAGCACACCATATCTGAAGAATCAAAACATACTCTCTAAATATAAAATCACTCCTTACTTTAATTGAAGTGTACATGTAATGTAATTTAAATATAATTTTATAACTGTATAAATATTTTGTGCCATTTCTCCTCTTCTGTGTCTTGCACTTTTTGCAAATTTTCCAATTTCCAATGAACTATTGCTGAGAGTTGTTGTAATGTGTGATGCTATAGGTTGTGATCTAAAGACTGCTCAACCTTTAAATATAGGACAGATTGTTATTCAATAGTGCAAAGAACATCCTGCCATAAATACATGGGATATTCATGCCTAATTAGCAGATGTTTTTTATGACTGGTTTTTATACAAACCCGTAAAATATGAACATAGAGAAATATGTACACAAAAAAAACAATAAATAGCATATATATAAATATCTGACAGGCATTTCAACCCACTCCTACCCTCTTAAAGAAAAGTGTTTTTATTTCTGCAGCCAGCATTTCCTAAAGTTCCTGTGTTAGAAAGTCTCCTACATTTCATGTTTAATAAACCAGGACTGGAATCCAGGGTAAATATCTTTAATGGAGGCCCGATAGCAAGTAAAAGTAAAAGCTTTGCATGGTTTCTAGTCCTTCACCACTCTCCCAAACTAAGAATAAAAGTTTGGGCTGGACATACACTTTAAGACTTGTTATCAGTTTGGGAGATGGGTGTCTGCTTTCTAAGGCTGTCCAGTACAGGAATTATTAATTTTCACTTAAAAAATACATTGTAAAAATCAAATCGCATGACCTTGCTGGTCTTGTCCTATTTCAAAAAATGAAGCCTAACTGGAGGGATTGCTGCAAAGGCCGGGACTGGGAGGCACTCAAGGAGCATGACATT